GCAGCTCACCACACCCAATTTCACCACATGACATGATATCACTTGATGTGGCATCAAAGGCAACATCATTTGGCATAAAATGAACCAAAATAAATAAGATTTAGATAGAGGTGAAAAAAGGGATAAAAAGGAAATACAACTGAAGAGTGTGCGATGTTATATTGTGGTGTGTTATGCTTCATATGTTATGTTATTTATTCTTATGTTATGGTTTTGTTATGTTATGCCAAGTACTAAGCTAAACTCCCCTCCACTTAACCCGTTCCAACTAATGTTATTTTAGCTCATTCAACTTACATAAACTATCCTTAATTTTATCGGTTGAATTTCAACCGCTGGGCGAACACTAGTTATATTAAATACAATTAAATAAATTTAAATAAAATAAAATAAAATTAAATATTATAAAAGGAAATAAAACACAATACAAGTAATAGAAAAGTGAATTTGGAATAGAATGGAAGAGGTGGAGTGGAATGAAGGTATTGGAAACTAAAATAAATGATTTAGATTTTGAATAGAATGGAAGAGTTTGAGATTTACACATCGTTAAGGCTATCCAAGAAGGAGCAACCAATCTGTACTGCAACTGCTGAATAACGCGTGTAAAGCTTGTGACTGAGTTGAAAGGTTTTCGAGCCTAGAAAAGGAAAGCAACAAACTCCAAAAATCTAAATTTTTTACAAACTACTCAGTTCCGCCCACCAAACTGCTGTATATTGAAATATAAAGTCTCCCGACCGCCCAAAACCGCCTTATTTTCCAGTCCATCGGCAATCAACAAAATGCCCGACTCTACCGAATCTATGAGATAACCTTCCATATCCGGATTCTGTTGCTTCATAAGCGCATACAATTGGCGAAATATTTCAGTGCCATTCTAAAAACAAAAGACAAAAAACTCATCAAAACATTACTTTCACTTGCCATGCAGCACAACGCTGCTGGCCAGAGTGTAACCTCCAGCATTTCCAGCGATGAGCTTTCCTTCTCCACAAACAATTGATAGCCATCGCGCAACATAGCTGTATGCAGTCGTTGCAACGTGTTAATTGGTGCTTCATGCGGTGGACGCGCGAATTGCGAGGTAAGCTGGGCGGAGTAGACATCAGCCAACACGTAGGTGGCCGCAATCCAGTAGACGATCATGAGAAACTTTGCGCGATAGCCATGATAAAGCTCCTTGCAAGCTAAATAGTACATCCCACAGCACAGCAGAGCGTAGCATCGATGCGGACGACAAGTAAAATGAAGCAAACAGTGATAAAATAATTGAATGAAATGGGAATGCAATAAATGTCAGCAGGCAACATTAGCTGATGATGCAGCTGCTGAGCGCTGAATGTTGACTGAGACGCAAAATGCTCATTAAAAGATAAAAATGCTACTCAGAACTGCATACGCACGCACACACAAACACAAAGACATACAAACTTACTCACTCACTCACTTGTCATTCACTTACATTGCTTGAGAAATAGTTGCACTGTAAACCAAATGCATTTATCGAATAGATTGTCTGGTATTTCCGCCGCCAATGACTGCACTCCAACTCGACGGTGCTGTTCCTTTTTTGCTTCACGTTCTTGTTGGTGTTGTTGTTGGCGCAGCAAACGCCTTGTCATCTCGTTGTCGCCGGTAATTTCCTTGATATAAGCCATATGAAAGATCAGCTCACCGACCCTTTCCACATCATGTTGTTGTTGTTGTTGTTGTTCATTTGATCTCTCTTGTCTTACTCTGCGCGTTTGACATGGCAAATGCCATTTGTACGGTATTGCGATGATGGCATAAAATATCGGTCCCGAAAATATGACGGTCAATATAAGGTAGGGCCAGACGTCACGTTTAAAGGGGCGTATGATGGCGAAAGCTTCATTTAGGCGGCGTGGTGCATGTGTCGCAAAGGCACCAGAATCGGCGAGAGTGAAGAAAGAGAACTCGACGGCCTTGCGACGCTCCCAGCTGAGGCTGACATCGCCGAGAAGAAAGTCGGCCAACTTCAAAATTAAAAACAAAAAAAAAAAAATAAATAAATCCAGAAGCAAATGTAAACTTTAAAAGCGATGCGGTTAAAAAGGTATACCGCCACTTATCGGTTTCAGTAAACTTGTTCATACGCCATTTGAGAAGTGCATAAATAACATACTTATGTTGCATACTTTTGGGCGCAGTTTTGGATAATTTTGCATATAGAATTATTTAACATCTGTCTTGTTTCTCAGATACTCTTTCGGCACTATTTAAAACCTTTTCAATAAGATGTTTTTTTTTCCAAGCTTACCCCATTTTGCAGCAAACCAATACCACCAGTAAAGCTATCATTCTCCGCGCCGGTATCATCGCTACGCAAGGATCCTTGTGTTCTGCCAGGCGCCTCAATATAAATGAATTGAAAATTCATATGCTCAGCCAATAGAGTTAGTAGGCAATGATCACGTCCGCCCGTCACATTTACTTCAGTAAAATCGCCATATTCATTGTCGACATAATCGTCAAACATTGTAGAGTTTGCAGAATCGTTTTCATAGTTCACCCAAAACCATGGCGGAGACTTGAACAAGTTGAAAATAAAATTAGACATAAAATGTGGAGCAGTGAGTTTGAATTGAAAATGATTGAGTAGTGCGCATTGTTAAGGGGCAAAGTGTGACAACAGACAGAAAAAGTGTATGCGGTCAAACCCAGGTCCTACCGAGTGGTAGTTTACACCTCTTCTAGCTCCTCACTGCGGCGGCCGCCANAATTAGACATAAAATGTGGAGCAGTGAGTTTGAATTGAAAATGATTGAGTAGTGCGCATTGTTAAGGGGCAAAGTGTGACAACAGACAGAAAAAGTGTATGCGGTCATACCCAGGTCCTACCGAGTGGTAGTTTGCACCTCTTCTAGCTCCTCACTACGGCGGCCGCCGTTTCTACTTACATGAAAAACTGGCACCCGAAATATGCGTCCATTGAAATTTGAGTAAACAGTCGCTGCATTGGGAAGTAACGGTACTTTCTGCAGACCTAAATTATCGCCATCATACCAATTGACCAAACGAAGATTACTAACACCATCGGGTACGGCTTGATTGTAGTAAATGCGAAAGCTATAAAAAAGTAAGGTTTAAATAAGTAGGCAGTGGGCTTGGCACTCAAATATTTGGGGTTATTAATATCGACATATGTATGTGTATCTTAAAGTTATCGAAATGGAAATGAAAAAAATTTTAATTCTCAGTTTGCAATGGATTTTCGTTAATCGTATTATTGATATTTTTATCCTTATTGATAATGCTACCGTTGTCGATATCTTTTATCGTTATTGGTATTGTTGTCGCTGCCAATATAAATTTTCAGAGATCGAAAATGACGATTAAATACCAAGATTTTTATTTTTAGATCATTGTAAAATCATTAGTTTGTTTTTTTATTTTTTTCGATAAAAAATCTATATTTTTTCTATAATTTTTAGCGGTGCTAATGGAGACTGCATTTTTATGACCGTTTAAAATTTTTAGTGATCTAAAAATTAAATCTGTAAATAACGGTTATGACCGAAGTAAAACAAATCTTAAAATAGCGATTATTCTAGGTCAATAAAATGAAAAATCATAAAGTAACGGCCAAATTTGATCGAAAAAAACAAAAATAATTTTTTAGCGGTTAAATAATGATTTTTATTTTTTTTTTTTTGACGTCGAAATTTTAAAATTAGCGTAATTTGTATTATTATCGGTGTTGTTATCGCTATCGGTATTATCGTCTNAATGAAAAATCATAAAGTAACGGCCAAATTTGATCGAAAAAAACAAAAATCATTTTTTAGCGGTTAAATTATGATTTTTATTAATTTTTTTTGACGTCGAAATTTTAAAATTAGCGTAATTTGTATTATTATCGGTGTTGTTATCGCTATCGGTATTATCGTCCTTTTCTGTTTTAATTATCATCAACGTCGCTATATGGCGCCTTTCGACTTTTATCGTTGCAAAAATCATTACTTTTATATTGATATTTCGGAGAATCCTGACTAGTACCTGCCACATTGGAATCCAGAAATCCGATGGCTGGTGGCCGATTTTTACCATCTTTCATATTTATATCTTCCTAGGTTAATCTAAGTAACTAATCGAATTTTCTCGAAATTGGATAACATTTACCATATCCGCCCCCTATTGTCGTGGGCGTGGCATTTCGCTAAATTCAACCATTTTTCACATGTATTCATGCATCCTATGCAAAAGTACCCCACGTTACAATTTTCAGCAAAAACGGAGCACATTTACTACTTTTTGCCACATTTTATATGGAGCATTTCCACTGTGCGGCAGTTACAGATATTTTTGTATCAATGCGTTGTTCGTTAAGATTACATTTAAGATAAAAATTTTTAATTTTTTTTTAAGTAATTACTGTTAAATGAATTCATATCTTACTGTACTTGTTAGATAAATAATAATAATATACTCATCGGCGTAGCCAGAATGAAATTTAAGGGGGGGCTCGACCCTATTAAGCTGGCATTTCAGGGTACTATTTTATATATATATAAGGAAAATTTGAAAGTTAGGGGGGGGGCCGAGCACCCCCTGCCCCTACCTGGCTACGCCCATGAATATACTACCAAATAAACGCCTACTAAATATTTTCTAAGAAGCTGCCCGCTTTCTCATCATACTTACGCTTTCTTCCTTGGCCTCGTTATGACAACAGCTCTCATTGGTTCCTCAAAGCGAACCTCATTAGCTTTTGGGGGATGTTTAGCGCCCCAATAAAATATGAACAAACTCAGGCGATGTGACAGCCTACGCTCCTGTATGCGTGCAGAAAGCTCATAAGGTGCACTAAATATCAAATTGACGCTTTCAATCGAACCCTGTAGACTATCTTCGACGAATTTGAAGAACAAATCTGCCTTGTCAAAGATTACAGATTTAAAGTTGAGTTTGTGAAGTTGATAAATGAAATCATCAATGTCCATTTGCATGCCTTCCAATTGTAAATCGGTGGGAATTTCAGCGCCTGCTGGTAATGGTGCGTGACGAGTGGTGAAGCTAAATTGAGGTGCTGCCAAAATGGCTAATTGGCGGGGTTTCAAGCCATTGATTATTTCAGAGAGAGCTGTGGAAGTGATGAATATAATTTTTTTTAGTAAAAAAAAAATCTGGGAAAAATAGGTTAAAATAGTGAAAGTGTTCATAAATGTATGGTTAATCGAATTATATGGTTATATAGACATATTTGCTACTTAGTTTAACAATAACTAAAATTTGCTGGAGTATAATAATCTATAGCCGGATAACTAATAGTTAAGAAAATGTGAATACCCACAGTAATTTTTTAGAAGTTCTTTAATTTCTATGCTCTATATTTCTTCTACTTTTAGCAAACAATTATGGCGTATACCTATAGCCACATCAGAAATATTCCTATCTGCATTATAAGTGATCGCACTGTATGCCAGCCCCGGTAGCCGAACAATTAAGCATAGAATAAAAACTTTCATTTTCCTTCAATAGTTCAACAACAGTCAGGTAAGTGGTTTAGCGCAATGTGTTTGCTTTATTAATTTTATTGCTTACTCTTCACATATTTATTTTAAGTTCACTTTCAATCAACTAAAATAACTTTAACTGCCTTCAGGCGCTTTTATATGCAGCGGTTGGATATGAAAATCCATTCAACGCACAAATACATTTTTGTTTTACATACAACATTTCGAGTATGTAATGATATGTGTTTTGTGTATATTTTCTTCTTACGCATATTGATTTCCTTCCGTTCATAGTTGTAGGCTGGCTGGCTGGCTGGCGCGGCTGCGCGCTGCCAAACATCATTTTTATGATATGTTGATTGTCAATTATCACATCAACTTTAAATATCGCATGTCAGCAGCAGTCAATATTCTTACGGCGCTGACTTATAAAATTTCTCGCAGCAGATTGAAAGAGAAATAAAAATTCGATATATAGCGCCAACCCTTTACCACTTTTCAAAGCTTAATTTTTGCTTTCATTGTTGCTGTTGTTGTGCCTGCCGTCTGTGGAGCTTTAAATATTACATTGTTCTTTGCCTGCGCACTGGCGCCTCCCTTTCGTTGGCCAAGTGACTAGCACCTGCAGGCATTCTTAATTTTTTATTTCTGCGCATATCCGAAATCGGGGAAGTTACAGGCAGACATTCGTATTTATGGTATTATTAAAATATCGTAAATAATTTTACTTGATATGATAATAATTTGGCTAGACAGTTGAAGTGGTGGCGCTGTATCCTGAATATAATTTATATAAGGCATACATAAATAAATAGTATTAAGTTAACCTGCTTGCTTAAGTAGATTCCAAATATTTCGTTTGGTGCATACTTTGACGGAAAGTCTTTATTATACGATCCCTGCATAAGGATTTGAGAAATTTAAATCAGTTCTAAATTTTTTCTGCTTTCAAAAAATTCTCTAAAATCATCTCAACATCATAAGGTCATCGGAAATGCACACATATATCGTAACCGGAAGCTCCTGGCATCAAGCCTAATCCAGGCATATCAAAATATCGATATTTAGACATAAATGGTAGAAATAATTAGAGATAAAAAGTTAGAAAGTAAGACAGGCATTATCTTTTCTGTAAAATTTCGGCAATATCTCGTACGCGGTTTTGTATTTTAAATGACGAAGTGATTTCAACGACCGTCTTATCATTCGAAAATACTCAACCTATTGTGCCCTCAAACATTCGTAAAAGATTTTCTAAAACGGTCTACTATAATCATCTTCACTTCACTCGAACGATCACCTAAAATGATCACCAGTAAATGATAATTCACTCATTGACCTAGCTCCTTAAATACTCTCTACTGATATTCTCAAATCATCTTAATTGATCTTTCTTTCTTTAAAAATGATCTCTTATGATTTTCTCAAATGATTAATATTCCTTTCCTCAAAAATGTTCAGTAGCCTTTGTATTTAAATGATCTTATTCAAATTATCTCTGTTGAATTTTCGATAGCTTGTGGATAATATAAGACCCACCAGAAGTTATGTAAATTCCAAGTCATGTTACGTAAGCATGGCTCTGGATACTTTGCATCTACGTTAATGTGACCACTTTTTATCCGCCTCTTGGAACATGCCTAAGTCACATTGCTTCTTAAGAGCATGCAGGGAGTTTGAAATTTCAGTAGCAGTCCTTCCTTTTCTAGTGTCTCTACCTCTTCGTTTCCTACTATGCATCTATGCCTCTATGCCCAGGTAACCAGTACAAGTGAATTTTCCTAGTTAACACCAAAATTTTTAGTTTATTTCCACACTCTAAGACACTTTTTGCAGCCGTCGTACTTGACACTATGGATTCTATGGCTGCTTAGCTATAGAAATTAATTTTTTTGCTATTAGCACTGCTATGAGAAGCTCCGTAAAGACTTTTTATTTCAAATTATTTGCAATAGAAACCTGCTCCTATGCCATATGTTGTTTTTGAACCGTTTGTGAACTGCCTCCAGCTTTCAGACCCTTGCGCCATCCATACGCCTCAATCGATAGGTGGCAGCAAAAATTACTATGACCGTATGATCTACAATTGAGCTGACTAGTAGCATTGCGGCGCATTGCAGTTTTCAGGACTAAGTAGTATATCGAGGAATACCTCCATTGCATATTCTCCTTCGGTCAAGACTTTTTCAATTTGACCAACCACCCTGTGCAATGCTGTTTTTTTTACTCTTGTTATAGGCACTCTGGGTATTGGAAATTAGATTTTGATCTATTCAGGCTTTCACATAAATGTCCATCATCCTTTCGAGTGTATTTAAGAGGAAAGATGTTAAACTAATAGGTGTGTAATTCTTAGCCGTTCTCCAAGAAATCGGCACATGCGAGAGCCTAATGCAAGCGATAAAGATGTGTTTCTGAAACATGACCTGATAAGCGCCGTCGGTCCCAGATGACTTGTATGGTGAAAAGGATTTTATCCGCCAATCAAGTTTGTACCTTGTAACCAGGTCATCTACAATATTATTTTACTCTTGTGTAACCCCCGTCGATGAGGTAAAAGTAGTGGCGAAATTTTCACCAACAATTGATTTGCTTAATAATTACTATAAAATTGTCGGAAATTCTTGTGTCATTGAAGGAAGATGATGTTACAGATGACCTGATTGTCCCAGTAATGGCAAGGCAGACTAATAGGCTACAGCTGACTGGCCGTTAATTCAATTCTCCATAATCACTTACTTAATTATTTAAGTTGGCGGTTACATACTATGGTAATGTTTGGCCGAGCTTCTTCGCCGATTTGTGGCGTGCGCCTTTATGTTATCACACGAAGGGGAGGGACCTACAGTCTTATCGCCGACTCCGAACAGCGATTGTATTTTTATGAGAAGCTGTTTTTCTTGGCCGAAATACACTGGGAGATTTCGCCGAAAACTTTTTCTTTTCTTTTGTTTTTGATGTGAGTTGGAAACTGGGCTCGATCGACTTCAGGCCCTGCGGAATGTTAGTATTCACTTCGAACCACTACCCCATAGCGCTCCCCCGCTGATCACACTCACACACGATATCATCCGCCATTTTAACTCCAACCTTGCTGCGCTTTCGAAGAATGTGGTTGATCCCTTACTGGGGTTTCTGGTGGCTTTGCCGCTATAGTGCGTTGGGCTTGTTATCCTTAATATATTATAAGCTGGTACACCCTACCTTTGGTTAAATTTTCTGGATAGATGAGTACGAGGTTCAGCTGAGAACATAATTGCTGTGCACGCGCCTCTATGCCTGACCAAATTGTTAGCTTATGCAAGTAACACTGAGGCGTTTCCTGTAATTATTCGATATATATTTCGTATGAAAATTCAATACAAGGTTTCTGAAACCTTCCGGGGTTCTCAATTATTACACGAATTTAAGACTGAGAATCATGTAAGAAGTTGTGCACAAATCTTTTGGACCTTGAAATATCTGTGTTGATCTCAATTTTTGGTTTAGTAATCTGAGGTAAACTTTCTCTGAAAGCTAACACCGGTTAAGCCACTAATTTCCATTTCTAAGGCGTACTTTCGGTTCTTATGCCATTAATTAGTAATTGAATTACGTAGTTGGTTTGCTAGATGTACAGACCACTTGCAGGATTTGAGTTACGATACGAAATCTAAAGAACTTTTCGTGAAAAAATGCAAATGCTAGAAGCAATCGAAAGCCAAATTAGAAAAGAGAAAAAAAAAATTTGAAATTGAAATCTTCACCACAGAACACTTGTGAAGCAACAGCAGCAGCAGCCTGATTAAGCTACTAATGCATTTGCGTAAATAAATAAAAGAATTCAGTTATGCCCTCAAGACAACTATGCATTCTCACGCAAAAGTGTGTAGGGAGTAAACACCTCAAACGTTCAACTAAATACTTCCCAAAACGAACTTCCTCATTTGTACTTTCAATTGTTTCGAATCTAAATTTCTTTCGACAGAAAGCGACTGTTTATGAATAGCTTAGAAAAAAAACCACTGGCACAACTGGCAAGTATTTACATTCCATGGCTTGAAGTACAAAAGCACAAAACCGACATTTGCGCGCATTGCACTGCTTTTCGCCTGTTTGTCTATTTAACATTGAAGCTTTCAAGCGTCCATTTATCATTTGGTATTTTATTTGTTTATTATTTTTTAGGTTATATTTTTTTTGTTTTTAATTTTTTTCATATTTTTTTTTTGTGAGAAATGTTTTTTTTGTCTCGGCTGTGTCTGAACTGATCTCGTCTCACTGGCCTGAAACCTGGCAATTATACTCGTATCTATACTTTTATGTGCATATTTATTTAAGTTTTCCGCTTTTATTTATCTTCTTCCAGTTTTTTTTTTTAATGCTTTTCAAGCTTTTCCCCGCATCTGCATCTTTTTTTTGGTACCTCGTTGTTTTAAGCTGAATTTTCTCCCAAAACGAATATTTTCTTACCCTCATTTTGTTGCGCGTACCAATGTTGTTGCTGCCATTATCTTGTCCTCCGCCTAGATTTAATCTGCAAACTTAACTGCGTAGCTGTGCGTGGCAAACATTTTCTATGCTGGCAGTTAAATGTTACAAATTAAAATTAGTATTTTCTTTCCTTACATACATACATACATACATACATACATACATAGGCACGTATTTATGCATTTGCGGCATGGTGGCGTCTGTTGCTCGTTTGGTTTGTTGCGGTCGGTCTGTGCTTTGCTGGCGGTCTGGGTTATGCACATTTGGGCCACTAATCGGATAATTTGTTTTTTGTTTATAGCTTTTAACGGTGTTTTCTATATTTTGTGCATACATACTTCTTTTGCTTCCTTTGACTTAACAGAGCTATGTATACATGTATACGTAGTTCTACAAGTAATCAGAAATCTGAAAGCGCTTAATGCATGCTCGAGTAAGCTCATTTGCATTTCTGTATTAAATATATATTTTAAGTGTTTTTTTTTTTTTTGTTAACAATAGTCGCTCATTGGCTGGCTTCACTCCATTAATACTTTATTTACTACTTCAGTTTTGCTACTTTTTGCGTGCTTTTATTGCAATAAGTTTACCACTCTGTTATTTTATATGTGCATATGTATCGTTCCACCTTTTCACGTAT